CTTGTAGGATTCCCTGCATAATGCTACTTGTTTATATCTTAAAATATTTAATAATCCTGCAGCGTATTCTAGACACTAACGTTACTTGTATTTCTCATGAAGAATTCTGTTCTTAAAGTTGAATAGATTATATTATGATACAGTAGAGAGCTACAGTTGAGATTAATGTTTTTAGTATTTATTAGTATTGCAGTAGTGCCTAACGGCCCCAGTCAGAATTGGACCCTAGTCATGTTGGGCACTGTACAAACACATGAAAAGACATGCACCATCTCTGCTCTGAAGAGTTTACATTCTGATTTAAGACAAAACTTGACAGCTTTGATAAACTAGAGGAACAAGTACAATAAGTTCACAAGGGTACATTCTCTTGCTGTGTGCACAACCTGAGAGTTCTGAAGCATATAATATGTTGGTTGGTTGGTTTTTTGGTGTTTTTTTTCCTTTTGCCTGTGACCTACCAATCACTAGTTGGCTGACTAATTGGCGACAAAAGTGGGTCTTCAATAAGAGAAGAAAGCAAAATGTAAATTATTCCAGGGAAGGCATTCCATGAATAAAGGGAGGTATGGACGTAAACTTTACATAGTTACTTCATAGATAACGTTCACTACATTGATTACTAACAAAAATATATGCCAGTACCAACAACATGCCAGCAAAAATTTCAGTTACAATTCTTTGTGAATTATTTTATATTATTTAATGGAGATTGATCTGGATAGTGGTATATAGTCAGTTAGTATCATGCCTTCCTTTCTTCTAATTTAGCTTACAGAATATTGGATATTTCGTTTTAGTTAGGAACAGCAAGTTTATGGTGATTTTTCTTAATTTCTCATATGAGCAGTTCCATAATCCAGATATTAACACTCTTGTGAATGTAACTACTCGGTGAAAATTGTGAATTTCACTCTAAATGTAACATTTGCTAGATAACGATGGGTATATGGAGTGTTGTGCTAAGCAACTTTTTACTGTGAGCCCAGATATAGTGTGGTGCCCCCATGCAGGGAAGTTAGGGGGCAAAAAGCAACCTTTTACTCCCTTGTGCCAACAATCTGCATTGTGACCAGCACTGCAGAGAGGAGATAAGCTTCCCTATGGCTGCTAATTCCTTCTTCCATGTGGGTAGGTGAGGAGTGGATAGGGTCTTGGCACTCCCACCCACGCAGTAAGCAAGATAGCACACAAGGGGATCTTTGCTTCTCCCTTATGGAATGAAAGAGGGACTAGGAAGCAGATTATGATTGAGTCACAATCTGTTTCTGGTCTGATCCTGGGGCAAAGACTTACCCCAGGGCCTGGGGGAAAGCTTGTAATTTATTTTGAAAAAGAGCTCTTTTATTGATTTAAGATAATCTTTTTATAATTATTCTTTTCCCCCAAACATTGAAATCATTTTCCATTCAGTACAATTTTTTCTTGCTTAGGCTTTCAGATGGTCATAGAAGGATTTAAACAACAATTATAGATCAATTATAACAGTATAACAGTTTTAAGAAAAGTCTTGTATCTGTTGGGGAGGCAGGGGAGACTGATTTTTATGCCCCCAGGAATGGCTACTTCTTCATTTCAGAAATAAATTCTGAAAGTATTTTTGTAAAGCAGTGGTGTGTGTACATTATGAGTGACTTAATATTATTGCTTTCTTTTAATGGTCTTAATGTCTTAAAGGCTCTCTATGTTTATAGTTCTTCTGAGCTGAGAGTAGTGATAAAATTCATTGTTTTTATTGCACATTGTTTATTAAAAAAAACAACCCAATTTGATTAAAATTTTTCACGTTAATGAACATGTGTGTTCACTTTTATGAACTCTGTAAAGAAAACTAATTAAAAAAAAATCAGTTATAAAAGGAAATAGAAAAAAATGAATATTTGGAAACAAGCACTTGACAAATGTAAACTTTGCATTCCTAGAATATTTCCCCTGGTATTATTATTTTCATCTCCTTCCAGTCCTTTAACGTTGAGTGTACTGCAGATGTTCTTGTAGCCATATAGTCTCTTGTACACTTGACATAAACCATTGTCTGTTAAACTAATTGTAGAATATAGAGTAGGAGAAAGTATACTTTTGGTCTCAATGGGCAGTGACTAATGAATGGCAAAGTAAAAACAGAACCAAAAAAACTATTTCTCTTTCTGATTTTTTCATGTAAATGATTTCAAAAAGGTTTGCCACCCGCTCATGTTTTAATTTTGCAACATCCATCATAAATTATATTTCAGTTCATATGTAAAAAAAAGAAACATTTAGCTCCCAGAATATTCTGTTTTTTCCTATGTAATTAACACTCCATTCACAGTTGTGTATGTCAATCAAAACCCTGCCTTCTTTCCTTTAACACTTCCTTGATACTTTGTTTAGACTGTTCTAAGTGTCATCCTCAATACACCCTAAATACATACAAACAGGAACAGGGCCATGCTTAAAGAAGTTGACAGTATGTTGGTCCTAATAACTCAGAGGAGCTATTTAAAAAGATGATCCATTATATAGTTATTTTGTATTTAGGCCATCATATTTCTGTCTATATTCTTTGGGGATACAGATGATTACTGTTTTTCAAATAAAGCTGGTAAACATTAGCTTATATTTACAGTTGTAAAGTACAGATAAGCCCAAACAAAACCACAGATCTCTACACCCCTGAACTTTCAGGAAATTTGGAACCAGATTGGAACCTCGTCCTTAACCTTTTGAAATTTTAGGAAAGTTTTAGATCTGGACCCAAATCCAAATGCTACTTCTCAGGCCCATCTCTATATATCATTTATCATGTATTTAAATAATCTATTCAGTTATGTGATATTCTAGCAATGTCAATTTGTGACACTCATTCAGAGTCTATAAGGATTTTCATTTTGAAAATTTTTGAACATTTTTGGAATAATGTTCCTATTTTGCTCCTGCAAAAAAACACATTTGTATGTACACATGCAAAATGGCATGCACAAATAAAATATTTTCTGGCTAAATCAGGTACTTGCAAATAAATTGGAAGTTGTTAACTTCTACCTTTTTGCATGTATATTTACACCGTATCCAGGGGCAAAAGTAGGTTTTATAGCCACAAATGTGTGTACTTTTGCCATAGCAACTTGACATTAGTTGTCAGCAGTTATTGTGTCTAAAAAATACTACAAATTTAAATTTTACAATCAAGATTTAAGCTTGTAAGTTATTTCATTTTTAGCCTGTTTGTCAAAAACAGAATTACTGCATTTGCTCACTCAGAGCCTGCCCTCTGTCTATTGAAGTTAGTAGAAATACACCCATTGACTTGGATCAGGCCTTAATTAGGTATTTGTGTGATTGTCATTTACAGGCAGAAATGCATGTTTTATACACAGAGGTAGTAACTGCATAAACAGGGAGCATTTTTGCAAATCAAGTGCTGTATCCCTTCTCACTCCTCACCCTCCAAAAATCGACATCGCCTTTGTAAGAGACAGGAATGCATGCACTCTAAAAAACTTCTGTTTGGTTAACTTCTTCCTCAATTTCTCCTATGCATCCCCATTGATTTTGAGGCAACATTTGGCTAAATTATTGCTGGTGTATGTACAGAATGCAAGGAAAGGCATTGGTGGCCTTAGTTTTTGAACTCCTGTGAATTAAATAATAATTCTGAGCCTTTTTTTACCTTCATTTATGTCTGCAGTAACCTTGCTGAAGTCACTGAAAGGTGGATGTATATCAGAAAGCAGCATATGGTTCTTTGTGTTTGAGAATAAAAAGTTACCAATAATAAGAACATATCATAGACTAATTGGGTTTTGTATAAAAAATGGGTGAAATATTGAGGTTAGCTAGTGTCTATTGCAAATAGAAAAAAAATTCACTGTTAAGTTTTGATATTATGGATAAATATTATTGAAATTCATACTGGTCTTAATACTCATTCACAGCTTACACTGCAATGGCTCCAGCTCATAAATGTGTACTGAGAAAAATGCTTGAAACACAACTAAACTCTTTCCATATAAAGGATCAATAATCTACACTATTGCCATTCCACATTCATAGCATAAATCTTAATGGTTCTAAAGGAGTTTAGAATAACACATCAAAGTGAGATTAATCTTAATGGGTCATTGACATGATTTCAGTTTCAACCACAACACTATTAGCTTGTTAGTAACATAGGACTATGGGGGAAGAAACCCCAAGGAATCAAACCTCAAAAATAGCTCTAATTAAATGTTATCAGTTTGACTTAAATCAACAAAGATTTTCCTCTCAATCAGCCATAAAGAAACCTTTGATTATAAGCTAAGTAATGGTGTGTTAGCCTAACAATTCAAGACCATATGTGAAATACATAAACTTTGAAATGATACCAGTAGACGTATGACTGGTCAAAGATTTTAGTCCACTCTCTTCCGGTCTTGGATTCCTGTATAACTGCTTAGCTCTTGAAATTGAGGTTTAGCTGTTTGTGAATCTGAGTAGGTGACAAATGACTTAAGTAATGGAGATCAATAAGTAAGACACACATATTTCAGTTCACTAGTGACACAGCTGAAAATCAGCTTTGAGAAATAGGGTGCTGGGCATATGTTAAATTGGTTATGTTCAACCTGTACAATTATTATATTGCTTATGGTGACAGCTGCATTATAGTTTTACATCCCAGACCATTGAACGATCAAATAAAATGTAATTTATTTGGACATTGTCAAGATGATGGGTTTGTTATATGTTACTTCCCTATCAATATGCTTTCACTCTTGAAACCTAGCTGGAAAAATGTGCCAGTAAAAATTATTGTGATGCAAATACATTATTTCCCATAGTTATTAAGAACTTTTCTAAGGCAATAAGTTCTTATCGATGCTGCAATAAATGGTAAAAAGTATTTCCACTTTGGATAGCTTTTGATCTTTTTGTTAATAAACAGTACAATCTTGCTTTTACAGATTAGTTTATTCCAAATCAATCCTCAGATGTAATATTTATGAATGTCTGGGTTTTGTTGTTGTTGTTTCCAGGGAAGGCGAGGTAAACCGGGACTCCCTGGTAAACCAGGATCACCAGGACCTCCGGTGAGTAACCAGCAAGGAAAATGGGAAATTCTCACTTCAGTCAAGAACTGCTGTATACTTTGTTAGCATTTTTGTAGCAGCTTACCTGAGGATAGCTTTAAATGAACACAATGGATCTTTGTTCTCTCTGCAATATCAGGCAGTTACAACTTCCAATCTTTCGATAGAACAAAGGTAAAGAATTGGATCTCAAATAAGAGAGGCTACAAAGCTCAGTGCAGTAGGGAAAAAACAAGATCCCAAACTGCTGTCTAACAGTTCAGAGAGGGGCTGGCTGAAAATGCTAACTATGGATATTGTGCATTCATTCAGTTTACCAAATGTATGATGCTGTATTTAAGATCTGATCATTTCTTTCTCAGAGGGATAATTTGAAAGATGAAGGACTGTGTGATGAGCTTGCCAACTGAATGGTGTAGAGGATTATACCCAATACTGGATTGAGCACTCAACTGTAGATCAAATGAGTTTACAGAAGAATTAAAAAGATTAAGAAATACAAAACTATATGAAAGGGTTTATAATATGCAGCACTAAAGGTTTTAGCTCACATCTGAGAGTTTGGGTCTTACTAAAGATACATTATTTGGAATTTGAGCTCAGGCTTGGATTTGGCTTGCTTCAGGGCTTCTCTGGGCAGTAACGAATGTGATCTTTGAGAGAATAAGATTTGATAAGAGTTGTGACATTATATACTATTTACTATATTGTAAAAATGCCATCACACACAAATGCATGAAAAGTGTTAAGAGCTAGGTGTGTAGTACTTAATAAGGTAAACTTATAGTCAACGAGTTGAAAGGTTCTTTTCTTAAAGTGTATTTGTCTTGTGAAACTCACTGTCTGCAAGCAGTTCTTCAACTGTTTCATTCTGTGGATCACTCTATAAAATATAAATCCACCATTGGACGACTGCCTCTTGCCCTACTGCACAGTTTTCATAATGTTCCATTCTGTGACTCATCAGGAAGGACTCTGTGAACAAAAGTTTACATCTGAGCCATAGTTTGAGAATCCCTGGTCTATACTAATGGTTAGGATTAAACAAAAGTGTTGTTGTTATCATCAAATTTTTGTGCTGGTTGAACATTAGTAATATTCCCAGTTTCAAATCACATTTTGACAGTTTTCAGCCTTCACTGGAATAAGTGATATCCATCAATCTTTCTAGAAATGATGTTGCTGGACATAGTGAAGGGAAGCTGTCAGTGGTAGGTGAGTAAATTGGAATAGATGGTTCCTGCACTTATCTAAGAAGAAACAAAAGATCGCACATTCTGGCACTGCCAATTTCTTTAATTTTTTCTAACAAAATATTTTCAGAAAGAAAAAACAGATGGTGGTGTTCATTCATTGTGTATAAAAATAAGCAGATATTAATTCATCTTCATACAGCCATACTGAAGCCTCACTTGGAGTCCTGTGTACAGTTTGTGGTTCCTTGTGATAGAGACATCGTACACTGGAGGGAATCCAAACAAGGATAATGGAACGATAAAGCAGTGATGTACAACCTTGTTGAACACAAATGCCAAACATGATCTGTTTAAAAATCAAGATAACAGGTGTCAATCTTAGGCCTTGTCTGTCCACGTTTTTTGTATCTGTATAACATGTTAGGTAGGGTTATCATGTTTTACATATCTAGTTATCATAGTACAATCTCTAATGTGGACTTAGTTGTACTGGTATAGTTTATTCCCCTTCCATATGGGAATAACAGTATCAATATAAACACTTGTACACCAATATAACTGCATCCACAATAAGATGATTGTACCACTTTAACTATACTGGTACAATTAAGTCCACATTAGAGATTGTACTAAAATATCTAAAGAGGTACTACTTTTGTGAATAGACAAGGCTATAGGGTGCTTTTTTAATTCCTTCTTTCTTTTCTAGTCTGTCGCCCCTTCCCTTTTGCTTCTGTCATTTCTCTTCCCATTCAGTCTATCTCAGTCTGCTATTTTGCTCTTCCATTGGCCCTTCCCATGCTGGACATTAAATGGAGGTAACTGCTTCATTCACATGGACACACTGGCTGCCCCTACCTTTGGCCTTGCCTTTGCACAGTCCAGGGCACAGCACAGTTAGCATACATATCCATAGGTTTGCTATCAGAAGATTAGCAGCTATGATTTATGAAGTGCTTAAGGGAGCTGAGCATGTAAAGCCTGGACTCTACAGGAAAAATGAGAAGAGAGATATAAGATCACCACCCATAAGTACTTCAGAAAGAATAAGATAAAAGTGAGTATTCAAAGAGGCTAAAACACAGATTGGGTATATGAAATTAATATAGGAGCATTTAAATTTGGTAGTAAGAAAACATTTTCAACTGTTAAAATGTTAAAAGGGCAAAAACTTCAATAAGGAGAGTTCTGAGCCAGCAACACTGAAGACTAGACTCGATAAAATCTTTAGGGGCGTTGGTGTAGAAGACACTCGTAAAGTAGTACCGGGTAATAGGCTAGTGGGACCAAATTCAAGTGATGTATACAGACTATAAATTGTACACTGGTAAGCGATGTGAGTGTTAGACAGTCTAAATGAGTGTTATTTGTATATCTGATGAGCCAGAAGAAGGTGTAAATTATGCCAGTTTATACTCTCTTTACACCCTCTTGTGAATCTAGCCTGATGACTCCTAGCTCTCTTATATGTGGCTCACTGATTTGTTCAACACCTAAATTCTGTGTTGTTATTTTTCTAACATCTATATTTGTAGTGAGTTCATATCCCTTACAACCTACTATACAGTCTTGATTAAGAACTATGTCAATACTAGAAAGGCAAATCATTACATTTTTAGCTGGAGTATTCAATAAAGAGACATTTTCTGCTCATCCTCTTTCAGGTGTCTTTCTTTTTTTGCTTCATGTATTCTCTGGGGTAAATCTAGCCTCCATTGAAGTCAATGAGAATTTCTATTAATTGGTTATAAAAGAAGATTTTTGTCATCTTATCTCCCCCAGATGATATTCTGTTTTCCCTTTTGAGTATTTTTAAAGGGGTTATTAAACAGTGTGTGGTTGTAAAATGTATTATTCACTCCCGGTGCAGAATTCTTGATTTTGGTCCTTGCTCCCTGATATTGTTTTTGAGTATTGTTCCATTATTTCAGTATTAGACAGTTGAGCTGTGTGCTCATACTTGTCACACTTCAATGCATAACAATTTATGCTGAAAACAGTAAAGCCAAGAAGCTGCTTAAATAGAACAGCAGCTCCCTCTAGTGTTTATTTGTTAATTTCCCCCCTTTTAAATGATTGCGAATTATATAAAGCTCTACTCTGAAACCAGTTAAATACAGTATCCCTTTGTTACTTGAGAAGTTTCCAAATAGTATGACTCCAAAGCCAAAAACCATTCACCTTTCACATGCATTTCATATTTTTTTCTTGCTTGCTTAACATTTTTGTTGAAAAGAAGGCCATCTCTCACTTACTGTGTTCTCCCTCTGCTTCAGTCTTTGTTGAATTCAGAATGCTCAATTTGTGATACTAAAGTTGGCATTATCAGAGCAAAACCCTGTGAGGTCATAAATACAGGATTATAACTTCATTACAGAATTAAGCTGATAAGACCTTTCTCCTGCAGTATCTGCTTCACCTGCTAACAGAAATATCTTCAGGAATCAGCAACACAAAAGGAGATGCTGGCAAAGTATATTTCTTTGTGTAAAATTATTCTGTTTTCAGTCTTGTTCCAGCAAGAAATTTCTCTTGAATACTTGAAGTAGTTTTGAGGGAGAGTGTAGAGGGAACTGAGTTCTGTATTTATATATGCTGTCAGCCTAATCCTGCATTGGCCCAACCCTGCAGTCCTTAAACAAACTCCTTTTAATTTCAATTAATGTTTCATCTGCCTAAAGGATTGCAGGATCATAGTGTATGTATTTGCACATGTTGCTTAATTCTAACATTTTTTCAGGCTTCAGAAATAAAAATATCCTGGTGTCTATATTCTATGGATCTCAGGGCCATTGTGAGAGTTAGATTGTTAATGTTTGCAAAATCCTTTGCAGATGAAACACAAATGCGTTTGTGGTAGAAATGTGCTATGATGACAATATTTGCAGGAGAAACTGACCTATCATATTTGACTCATGGCAATAATTATCACTTTAGCTAATCATAACCACAGAATGACAATATATGTTTAAAAATCTGTTAAGAATTGTCAAGTGGAAACACCATCATTTAATAATATGCATTGCCACATGTCCTGCTTGGGTCACAGTTCCAGACTATACAGCTGCTAGGGACATTGTTGACATTCCAGTGTCACCTTGTGGGTCATTGGAATACTGAAAGACATCCTTACAGAACACATCAGGCAGCTAGTGAAATCCATCTAATGATCAAAAAGCTTTACACCGGTTTCATTTTCTGGCAATGCCCTCTTTTTTCCCCCCTCTTATAGAAGATCTAGACATTTCTTGATTTTTCTTGATACGTAGGTTGAAGCAGAGAATAAAGAGGTTTCGCCTGCTTTCTCATTCTGAATTGCCTTCTATGGTACCAATTCTGCAGTCTTCGCTGGGACTACTCGCAAGAGTAAATGCTACTCAATGATGCAAAATAGGCTCTGTGTTTTCTTTTAATACCACTCTGACACCTATGGCTTTAATTTGTTCAATATACCTGTCTGTTATTGGGGAAACCAGATTGTTTCAAAGCTAACAACATCACACTCTCAGGAATTAATCTCACCCTTGATATGAAGCATGCAAGCTTGTCTCTCTCTCTCTATATATAGTAGTTCTGCATGTTTACTTCTGTTGCCCTTCACACTGCAGATTCACCCACCCCATATCAACTATTAATCTGTTACTCAGATAGCCCCAATACCATAGTAACTGAGCACCTCAGACAGGGAAGAACAGTTAGCTCAATTTTTTGGCTAGGGAATTGAGGCACAGAGAGTATGTCTACACTGTAATAAAATACCCACAGATGGCCCATGTCAGCTGACTTGGGCTCAGGCTGCAGGGC